GGTATTTCCCAACAAAATGCGATGCGATAATTAAACTTGTTCATTTCTGTGTGAGTCTGCGAGTACAATTTGATGGAAAAATCAAAGGGTACCAGAGGTATCAAGGGGAGCTCCCGAGAAAACTAGTACACTTCTTTGGTTTGGGAAAAAGGACCAATAAAGCACATCGATTGCTACAAACATGTTCTTCAACATGAAATGTAGGCAGAATTTGAATTCAACAATTCCGTGGCGATGAAAACGAAACATTTGTGGTCATGGTAACTGCTGTGAGACGAAAGGGTATCAGCTGGCATGCGCAATTGCAACAGAATGAAAAAAAAACTACTTTTAGAAAGTACGGTCATTAGTTGAGGCGCACAACTCATTGTTTTATGTTAAGAGGACAAACAATTGCCAAAACTCTAAGTGGTGGGTTCCATCGCGATGGTGCTGGGGCTGGAACTCCAACTCAGTTGATTGTAATAGGAGAATCTCACGCACCCACAGCTCTTGCCCAAACTGCCTCCATCCAAAATTTAGAAGAAGAAAAAGAGAAGAGTTGTTTTATCGAGGAATACTATGCTTTCAAGGAAAGTAGCAAAACGTTGTAGCATGGAGCAAACAGTACCTCGACTCATGAACTTTTTAATATCATATTTAGGCGAAGTAATTGCTCAAAGAAAACGCTGGAAATTAATGCAACTCCCTAATAAGAGGTGTAGGAACGTGCAATAATTGACAGAACTTTTCTGTGTATCTCGATTTGTTTATGTTCTCCGTGAAAATAGAATGATGAAGGTAAGCCTTTGTTAGATCTACATACAGTGTTTGCGATAAACGTATCCAGGCGTTGCTCAGCTGATTCTGTTCACCATTATAGTAACAACTGGTGTGAACGCCACACCACACATTATGCCTGAAAATCAATTGCTAAATATTCTTTCTTGTGAAATCGTGATGTGAGATTTTTTTCGGCGGGTGGAGGGGTAGTAGTCAAGCAGTAGGTGTTTAAATTGTTCATGCAGTTGTTGCAACGGGACACAGCGAGAGAGGTTCAACGTGACTAACCCGAGCAGGCAGGATGGCGGAAGGGGGGAGGTGAGCTTCGGTCGATCTTATCTAATTCGTTCATACTGATTCACATTTTCTGTCTCTAGGTGCTGTCTCAAAACCGTCCTGTTAGATCTCAATTTTAGCCCAAGCCACCTCCCACGTTGCGCTTGCGAGCTCTTCCATCCCTCGCCACATC